TTAAGATTGCCTGGATTGTTGATACATTTGTGTTGTGATATCTAGCATACCATTTTTTTAGTTTATTTTGAGTTCTTATTACGTGTAGTAATTTACTTGTCAAGGACTTCTGGTCACAGTGTTGGTATGTCAATAATTACGGGATACAAAGTTAAAACTGGGATTTTGTTCCCAGTTTCCCAGTTTTTGTTTTTGGCTGTGTTTGGAACTTTCCCACGTTCTCCCAGTTTCCCAGTTTGCGCAAACACAGCCAAAAAGTCCGAATTGGGAAACCCGGATTTGTTCCGGGTTTCTAGTTTGTATCCCGTAAATGAAGATAAAATTGAAAAGAAGAGTGTGATGGTTTAAGATACAAATGAAGGCATTAGCGGGGTTCACGTCAAATGAAATCAAACCCAAAATGTGTTTTAGGCATTGCTCGGAAGCCTTAATTTATAACTCACTTTTTAAAGCTTGTAAGTAGCTCTAGAGCCACTTGTGGGCTCTAAAATTATAGGTTGATGCCTATGATTTTTTTTTGATTGAGAAAAAAACCATTTTTTTATGTCAAGAAAAGGTGTATGAGTTGTTTATTTGTTCCCAACAGTTCTTTTTTTCCTACTTCTTTCTTGTTGAGTCCATAACAGCAGATAAAATGTACTTTTTTCCACCATATGTACCTTTTTCTCAAAGCTTGTTTTTTTTGTTATAAGATGTAATGGCCTATTTTTAGTCAATTCTTACAACATCCAAGTCAGTTTTAGGTAAAATTCATCTTGAACAATCACTTGGATGTTGTAAGATTCCTTTACTGTCAACTTTCAAGTTCATTGCTCAACATGCCTACTTCAACTGCTCCTACGACTCGATTATCTTCCCAACTTCTCTGTGCGGCTCATGAGTCAGCCAACGCTAGTGGTCCCCCCAGTCCAGTTTCTACTCCTGCCAGCCTAGCCCCTTCCGATTCTGTCTCTGAAGCTATCTCCAATACCACTACCGTTGCACGCTCCTCGTGGGTGTGGCAGTACTTCAATCAGCAAGATATCGAAGGCCTCCTCAAGAACGTCTGCCAAGCCAATCAAGGCTTTTCCAACAGTGTTACACTTGCCGACAAGGATCCTGACGCCCCTGTTGTGATCTGAAACAAAAGCCTAGCAATCAACCAAACTGGCAGCACGAAGTCTATGATTAGACACCTCTCAAGCTGCCACCATATCAAGCCACCGGTCAATACCAATCAGCAAACCATGGCAGCTTTTTTCAATGATGGCAGGCTCGCCAAGGTATGTACTTGAGGATCTCACTTCTCATTTTGTTTAAATTTTATACTGACCATTTTTTTCTCGTAGGTCAAAGCCTTTAACCGAGCAAACCTGAAGGATGCCCTGATTCGCTTGATTGTCAACCGAGAGCTCCCAATCTCGTTGGTTGATGCTCCAGAGTTTCGGGAGCTCCTTACAATGACCAATCCTGCTACACCTTCAATCCTGTCAAAGCAAACAGCTATATCCGAAGGTATCTTGTCCAAGTATCAATCGATCCGTGCTGCTATCACCAATGTTTTATCGACGGTTCAACATGTCAGTATAACTTGCGATGGATGGACCTCTCCACGCAACATCGCTATGCTTGGCGTGACTGCTCATTGGATTGATGATAATTTCAAGATGTGTGATGTGATTCTTGCTTTGAAACCAATTGATGGACCTCACACCGGAACGCATCTTGCGACTCTCCTCAAACACACTCTGGACAAGTTCAACATTGGCAAAAACCTCTATTGCATTACCGCAGATAATGCGTCCAACAACTCTACAATGGGTTGAACTCTTCAAACCATGATCCCGTCCTTTGATGCCTCCGATCGACTCCACGGTTGTGTCGCCCATGTCATCAACTTGGTGGCCAAAGCTGGAATGGTCGCCTTCGATCAAAAGTTGGCGCCTCCACCAGTCAATGCCCTTGATCCCCAAATTCCCCAACCATCAGTTCCTCTTTTAATCGAGTCGACCCCACATTCTACCGTCACTAGCATTCTCACTCGGATTCGTTCCTTCCACAAGAAGATTAAACACAGTCCCCAGCTTACAGCAGCCCTTGATAATGCGGTTCAAGGATGTGCCAAGCTCAAACGGCAAGTTGGTTTGATTCATGAAGTGTCCACTTGATGGTCTTCAACCCATGATTCTCTCGAACGTTATCTTGAACTCCAGCCAGTGATACGTTATGTGTGCAATGGAAATTCCGCCCTCGAAGACTTTTTGCTTGAAGAGGATGAGTGGCAACTTGTTGAGACACTTGTGCAATTTTTAGCTCCACTTGCTACTGTCATCAAAGAAATCGAAGGCAACAAGTCCCCAACTTTCTCTAATGTCATGCCTGACTATCAGTGGCTAGTCAAACGACTTGAATCTGTGAGTCTGGTTTTTTCATCTTTTTTTTCTATCATTTTTTCAATGATTCATTAACTGATATGTTTTAATTTCTGTCTTGTAGGCTTGGCACAACTCCAACTGCAAAGAGTTGAAAGTTTTGATCATGCCAATGATGAAGAAGATCGTTCAATATCAAGAGGCCGCTCAGAAGAAAGCGGTGTATATATGTGCTGCTATCCTTGATCCTCGCCTCAAAGTCAACACGGTCAAAGCCTCAACAATGGAGTCCCTCGGCTGGGGACCTGAAGATCTAGTCAAGTATTTCACTAATCAAGCAAGAAAATTTGTACCACCTTGTGATCCTGAGATCGAGATTGTTGATCCTCAAGAAGACACTCTCAACCTCAATTGACCTCAACACTTCATCAAGCGCCGTAAAATGGTTCCTATCGAGCATGAGGTCAACGAGTATCTCACAGCCCCTCAAGAAGATGAGCAGTGCGATGTTCTTCACTACTGGTTCTTGAATCAGCGTCACTGGCCAAATCTAGCACGTACGGCCAAGGCAATGTTGGCTGTGCCTGCCACTAGTGCACCATCTGAGCGGTGTTTCTCTAGTGCTTTAAGAGTAATGAGTGACCATCGAGCTTCATTCACTACCCAAAATCTTGAGGCCCAAGTGTGCCTCAAAAGCTGGTCCCGCCAGTTCTCCTAAATTTTTTATTTCTTTCTCGGTAGCTATTCTACATCTAGTAGCTCACAATTTTTATACACGTAGTTTTTAAATTCTATATCTAGTAGCTCACAAGTTATACACATTGTTTCTAAGTGATTGATAGCTTTGTACTTGATCTAGATACTGATAGTGATGCTATATTATGCTTCTTTGAACCTGAAATCTATGCTTTTGCCCTCTTTTTCCGTGCCCAAAATGAGCCCCGCCCCGCTCAGCCCGACACCCTACATCATGGGGCATGCCCTGGTGGGCCCTGCCTGAATTCTGGATGGCTTCGGGCCTTGATGGGGCAGGGCCAGGCCCCGTGGCCGGCCACGAAGTTACGGGGCCGGGTCATAGCCCTAGCTATTATGAGTACGGTTTGGGAAAGGTTGTTTCACTTATTGTTTTTCATTTCTCTATTTTGGGAATAGGTTGCCTGTGACCTGAGATTTTCTTTCTATGTTTGTTTTTGTGTTCTCTTATAGATATATATACTACTGTCATTGTTCCACTGAGTTTCTTTCCTCATTGGAAAGAAACTGTAAGTGTCTTGCTTTTTCAATTAGACTAACAATTCATCCTTCTAACAACTGTTCTTACTGGTTACAACATCTCTGTTATGGTATCTTTATCTTTTAACTTACAACCATCTCATTTATCAATGCCTGCAATCCCTGTTGCTTTTACGCAAAGGTTTGTCTTAGTGTTTCCCTTATCTCTCTACTTTATTTTCTCTTTACTAACTTGTGGTGTGGTCAGGTCTGTTCTTTTTAGTTGCTCTTTGAAGCACTTGAGGCTTGTGCTGTTTACTCATGTCTGTACCTGTTACCCCGAGTCTCTTCCTAATGGCATAGCCATGGCTTCTTTGAGCATCTGTCCTCTCAACTTTGCAATTTGAACCCATTTTGGGATTGAGCAGAATCTAGTGAACATGTGATTGATTTGAAACTGTTCTGAATGATTATACATCTGAACCCTTAGTGGGATTGAACAGATTGTGAAAGATTGCTTTTTGAAAAACAAAGGGGGACGGCTGTTATCTGTGACGTTGACCTCCCTTGTCCCGCAGCTGTTTTCCTTGGGGTTGATCCTGTACTACTGTTTCATTATATCTTGGACATCAAGAAAAAATAATGAAGTTGAAATTTCAGTTCTTAACTGGATTTAAACACAGCAATCACTGTATTGTCTGTTTTTCATTGGTGAATTTTGAAGTTTAATCTACTTCAAGGTAGTAAAAACTTCATTATTTGTTTCTTGATGTCCAACATATAATGAAATAGCTGTATATAAGAATGGAAATGATAGAATCTCTTATTTTAAAATGAAATTTGCAACAAATGGAAATGCTTTTGGTGTATCTAGTATCTCATGTTTGAACTATGTAAGCTACCTTTTTTGGCTCAGGCATTGAATATCCGGCAACTTACCTGGTTGGCGTTTGGGCGGCAGTTAATACAAAAAAAAACCAACAGGAATACCCCAAAAGGGGTCGGGGAGCCTGTACAAGCGTTGGGACAGGGCCCAGGCAGGCCACTACTCGACGGATAGTGGCCGGGACGGGCCGAGTTTACATACACTTGCTTCAGTGTACTCGTACTTTGGCTAGGTATTGCACAAAGAATGCATTCAGTAAAAAACAGAATTCACTCTAGTTGTGAGCATCAGCAGAGTTGTGATTCCCAATTCCCGCCTGCCACCCGGACGGATCACAATTTGTAAATTTCCTGCGCAGTAAATGCTGCATGCCTCATCCGGTCACAAGCATCTATTCACCAATTCCCAAACCAAACGTGAGATATTCAGTCATTGGTAATGCCCTTGTTGACTGAGGTTGTGCGTAATCAAGGCTCTCTCCAAGGTGGGCACAACAGAGGGTTGTAAAAAACCTTTGGTCCTTTTCAGACAATCCACCAACAGTGTTGCAAAGCTGGTGAGCTGCGCTAAGGTTATCAATTCTCATATTTCAGGATAGGTAGCGGGCACCTTTTTGACGACATCCTTCGATAGCATCATTTTAGAATACAACAGGGCAGGTCAAGTAGGCCACTTTTTTGCTCATTTATGGGCCAAAACGAGTGAAAAAGTGGCCTACTTACCTGCCCTAATTGTTCACAATCATATGATATGATATGATGTTGATGAGCTGCGATGACAAGATTGGAACAATAGGAAGAGTTGGATGGGAAGCTTAGTTAATTTTAGGGCGGGATATTGGTCTTGAAGTGTGGAAATGTCAATATCCTTTGGTACACTGTCAAACGTATTGGAACATACGAGAAACTGTGGATGGCTGCGGCTTCTTCTTGTGGCATTGGTAAGTACAGCTGTTTCAACAAAGATTGATTTTTTTTGAAAATCTCGCCAATGTGCAAAACCCGGGTTTTGTCCTGTTTTGTCCCTCACCCGATTTTGTCTCTCCGCTAATTGGAAGAATACAGAAAAGAATAAACCTGTAAATCAAGTTTTGTCTCTGGTTTTACCCGCTGCGGAGACAACTTTCTCCAAAAAAAGTTGTCAACCTTTCTTGAAACGGCTGTACATGCATCCGGCCCGCGGGCGGGAATCGGCTTGCACATATAGGGCGAATGTTCACGTCTACATAGTCGAACTCCTGTTAAACTCACGTTAGCCCCCGCGTTACATATATCGGGTTGATTCCCCGCTGCTTCTCGCACGCTTCGAGCGCAGCGAAGCTGTCAATATCTGCTCTCTTTTAGAAGGTCAATGATCCCACGGATGACAGTGATATCTGGTCAAAAACTAGATTACTCCTGATATGTCCTCACAACACTAGACAAACAAAAGTGGCCTTTGATTCTCACAACGGTCATACCACACAGCCTGTCCAATCTTGAGCAGGGTTTCCGCAAAACTCGAGCGAATTGGCTCATAACTTTGGCAAGCTTTGTGCAATCATAAGCTTAACTAAGCCCCTCTTCCGACGCGACCACGTCCGCTCTTGAAGTGCATCAAGACTCGCGGCAGCTGTTTCATGCAACATTAGGTATGTGTCTCCTTTTACGTCCTCGGCCATACATATAAGTCCCCCCAAGTCATCTTGCTATCAATTTTTTCGCACTCAAACTCGCCCATCTTGTCTCGAATAGCTATCAATAAATCCTAGCCAATCAACCAACTCCACCGCTTCATTTTTCAAGAATGTCGATAGCGACCTACATAGCTCCTTATTTGTTTACAGTGCCGTTGGCATTGCAGGCCTTCTGGCGACATCCGTATTACGTGAACAGCAAGGCGGCCAGCGCAGCACGGGCGTTCCTCATGCCAGCGACAATATACTTCGCGTTGACAAGCAATCGTGCTAGACACATCGAGCCTCGCGACACAAACTTTCATGTCAATTTTTCAATCTGTTCCTTCCTCACAGTGCATGTTGTATGTCTCGCCATACAGCTTGGGCTCTCACAGGACCCACCCCTGCCAGTATCTAGTAAGCATTGGTATCATAATTCTATCTTCCAGAAATATGTTCTTATCCATGCACTTTGTTGCAACAAAACCTCTAGATGAGCTCGAACCCAAGGAAAAGATGGGTGAAGATAATTCACACAAATTGTCAGCAAGTATCGACGTACAATCAGCCCCTTCATGGGGTGAACTTATCAAGTTTACTGTTTGGTTTCTTACTAGGTATGTTACTGGGTTGTCCTAGACATATGCCAATTTCAAAAACTCGAGAAAGTGACTGGAATATGAAAAGTTGAATTTCCTACTTCTGCTTTCAATTAGCCCTCGGTTTGTTGGAACTACTTGGGCTCCCCCAAGTTCTGTTTTACCTCCTGCTCCTAAGCTTTCTATGAGAGATTTCTTTACAAAGACTATGAAGAATACTTTGAAGCATCACTTCTTGTTTGTATTATGTTGGTTTGTGGGTGTAATAATTACACAGCATCCGCAGGGATCCTATGGGTTTCTGACCCAAGAATGTAGGTTACCTGAAGGTCGCTTGTTGAAGATTTTAGCTCCATACTTCAATAGCATACCTTTCGTGGTCAGTTTCTTTTTGCCTAATGCGCAATATCTCAAGCTACCTGGACTTCTTCTCAGAAAATGATTTTCTCTTTTACCTTGAAATATCTATGTACAGTTTGCTACATGGCTTACCATAGAAAATGTGCGCAACGTGGCGACACTTATAGAGCTAGCAGTATACTACTTTGGTCCTCGGATTTTACCGAAGACTCTTGCACCAGGCCCATTCGATAGCTCACTCTACCCACCCATCTATCCCGACCTTTGGGGGCAATGCAGCATAGCTCAGTTTTGGTCCAGAGGTAAATTTGCAAGCTGTCGTCTAGGGTGGACGAGAATATCGGCTGACGAATATCGTGCGACGATCAAAATAGGCTGGCACGCTGCACTTCGTCGCGATATCATCTTCTGTGTGGGTGCGCCGGTTGCGCGCCTGTTCTCCCCCTTTGGACGAACTCTTAGTGGATTCACAGGCAGCATTAGTGCAATGCTCTTCAGTGCCTTCTTTCATGAATATGGTTAATATCCTTCATACCTCGTAATCATCTGAAGTCACATACGTAAGTGGATTGCTCACGGTTTGTCTCTTTCAGTTGTGATATCTTCTGCCCCAGCCCCGGATCCAACCTGGGGTACTGCCAAATTGTGGATATGCAGTTCGGTTGCAATCGGTTTTGAGTATTTGTTTACCATGGTCACGGGAAAGAGAGTAGGTGGAGTTTTAGGCAAGGTATGGACCTACAGTGTGCTATTTATTCTATCACTGCATACCGTCACTAAATGGTAAGCCAGAACGATAGAAATCAAGATAAACGAGGTTTGGAACTGAAATGATTGTTAAACCTTTCTTGCCAGGTTGGAATTTGGTCTTGGGCAAGTAGGGATTCTTCCAGTTTCTCTTTGGACATGGCATAGATATGTGATTCCCTTTGGGCCTTCTCTTCCTGAACCTTGGATATCTCAAACACAAGGAGGCAAGTCAAATATCAAAGTTACCCGTCTTTGAAATCATATCCTACAGCAATTCACTGATACTATCCTGTCCATCCTTTGTTCATCTTGTGTAGTCTGTTTCTTTCTTCTTCTGTCTGTTTCTATTCATTATTTGGGTTTATGGACCAAATCGTAATGTTCAATTTGTCAAATGTATCTGATCGGCACGGTCAAATCCCACGTCGTATTTGAGAGAGTGGATCGAGACTTTGATTATCTGATGTTGATTTGGGATGTTTTATATGCCGTTCAGCGGTAGGTTGAAGTATGGAGGCGTAGCATTGAATACTGCTGTCACGGATATAGTGGTTGGTATTATCCAAAGGGTCTGAAGTGGTATGGGGTGATATGTTTTTTGCTTGGGTCTCTTATCATTAATCTTTTTCTTGTCAAAGAAATCAGATATCATCCTCATCTTTTTCTTCATTCATTCAACTACATCGTGTGTGCTCTAAACGACTTATTGGAGCTTACATAAGAGCAGTATGATGTTGAGAAAAGTAATCAAGCTCTGTCTGGCAGATCTACACCATGTGCCCTGAGGGTTTTAAAACCTTTTGATTATAAGATGCATTTGGAAGAGGGATATCTTCTGGAAAAGGAGGAGTACAATACACTCGTTCTTAGCTTGAAGATACAAATATTTGCATTCATTGAACAGAACGCAGGAAACTTGATCAAGTATTTATTATAGGTGTAAGCATAGTTTCAAAGAAATTAGGAGGTCAATTGTTTTGCTGACACAAGAAGTAAAACAGAGACAGTGAATTTTGAGCAATAAATGAGTGATTTTTTTTAATCAGAATGGACAATTGTAAGAAAACCCGAGTCAAAGAGAAGAATAAAGATAAACTTGCAGAAACCAAAAATAGATACTCCAGCTTCTCCTTTGTTGTATACATACCACTCAATCCGATCTGTGTCATCTCGAGATAAGTGACGTTTTTGTTCAGTTTCATTTCCAATTTCAAATGGAAAGTAACAAAGGCTTTGGTGATCACTGAAAAAACAAAGTTCTTCTTGAATAGATGGTTCACAATGTTGCATCACAATAGGCGCGTAGTGTACAGAACCGGCGTCTGGTGGGTGTACTTGAAGATGGACGGAAGAGTTGTTGATGTCGTGAAAGATGCAGCTAGGCATGTATACGATGAGGAATAGCAGTAGGTTCTCCTAAATGACGCTGTGGATTATACAAAATGGCTGAATTTGAAATTGTCAAGGTTGTATGAATTCAGTACGTTGTGGAAGATCTTGCCAAGGAATGTGAAGTTATGTGGATTCTGATAAAGGAAGTTGGGCTATGGTGAGACAACTCACTTCTGGACCGCTACCACCATGGCAATGTTAGCAGGTACTGAGAGACCAAACCAGCAAAGCAATGGTGCCCTAAATTCACAACATCAACACAATGCAAAGAAAGAGGAATGAGATTCAACTTTTAAAGGGAGCAGGATGCTGTCAGCCATTGGCATCAAATTTTGCAATGGACAATGTGGTGGCTGGACACCCAAATCCATAGTTTGAGTTATATGGCAATACAGTGAATAGGTCCAGTGGAGAGTGTCAAAGTCTCATAATTAGGCATAGAATACACCAGTTGTGTAGCACTTGAGCTGGAGAATTGTTCATTGGGTGCAAAGCTTGAGTCATTCAGGGTTTGATTCTAACAGCTTGCTACTACTAGTTGTTGGCTGCAGTGATTGAACCCCTTTGAAGACTGATGGAATCACTGCATTCAGACTTCAAGCTTCTCTCCAAGAGTCCATTTTCATTATTGATTCAATCCGCTGCTTCCTGATACATCAATCATAATACTTGGTGATCAGAACTCTTAGCAGGACTTTTGTCTAAAGAGAATGATTCTAATCCCATAGGTGATGTGATGGGTTTCACATTGTTTGTGCTGGCAATGTCACCAAAAAACACATGCCAAATGTGAGTAATCTTTGATGTCATCACTTCAAGAACCATGATGGACTTTTTCTTCTTCCCTTGAAAACTTCCCTGTCCAACCAGAAGGAAAATATTTCCAAACACAGTGCATACCATCAGTGGAGCCTTTCCAACCCAGAAAACTGGGAAACTCTCATTATAATGTTTCTCGAAAGATGGATTCTCAGGATTCGAATAGAACCTAGAGAAGACGTCGTTGCTAGAATTGTCTATAGTACAAAATGGACACACTGAGGGCACAGGTTCCTTTAGACTATAGCGACTCCGCTAGTCAACTTCAAGAACAAGAATTGAAACTAACCTGCGACCTCGTGAGTAAATGAAAGAGCGCGCGTAAGAAGGCAGTTTAAGAACAGGAAAAATAAACAGTTATTGATTCTTTTCAACACTACACACCTGAGGGCACAGGTTCATTAGTTAGACTATAGCGACTCCGCTAGTCAACTTTGAGAACAAGAATTGAAACTAACCTAAACAACAGTAATAAAGAAAATGAGATACAATAGTGATTCTCAGCCAGGAAGCGTTTGCAGAGCAAAAGCCTCATAAGCAGTCACAATAATAAAAAACATAAAAATACATAAACAAAAAATCACATCTCTCTCACTCTAGTTTCAAGAGTGTAATTGTTATAAAAATAAACAATTAAACAAAACATCTTAGTCAAGGGTCAAAGGTGTTTTGTCTAAATTAAAAAATATCGAAGTTTCTAAGCATGACAAACAATATAAATCTCTCGACAGCGAGCTGACTAGACTCGAAGAGATTTTAAGAAGATAGCAAACCTTTAACAAAGAAAAACAATATAAATCTCTCGACAGCGAGCTGACTAGACTCGAAGAGATTTTAAGAAGATAGCAAACCTGACAAGGTTTGACAAAGAAATAAAACTTTAGAATTTCTTTTCCCAGACGGTCAGGAAAAAGATAAAAGAGAAACGAAACAAAAACACAATTCCACAACACACCTTTAACAAAGAAAAACAATATAAATCTCTCGACAGCGAGCTGACTAGACTCGAAGAGATTTTAAGAAGATAGCAAACCTGACAAGGTTTGACAAAGAAATAAAACTAGTAGAGCGAGTGATAAGTAAGTAAAGTGTTTTAAATAAAAGACACTAATAAGAGAATAGAAAAATTATTACCTTTAGAATTTCTTTTCCCAGACGGTGAGGAAAAAGAAAAACTAAAGGGGACAACACGAGCGAACACACATATAAGACAAAAATTAGACAAACAAAAAGAGAAAAGAAAGACGCGTGACCACCCCTGCATTCATGCACTACTTTGCTAAGCTTACATTCCAATCAACTGACAACCAAACACACATTTACCCCTTTCATGTATCATTAGCTCTAAACTGATCGAGTCGACAATGTTCTACTTGTACATACGACCGTTGAACGTTTTGTGACAACATTGATCTATTTACTTAACGCTTGAAGGTCTTGACACAACATGAGTTCAGCTCGATGATGAAAATAATCCAATACTCCCCCTCAAGACTTTCACCGTTAAGATTTCACACCTAATTTACTTCTCAACTTGATGAATTGCTGCTTACCAAGTGCTTTTGTAAGTAAATCAGCAACCATTTCACTTGTTGGACAATGTTTAATAATCATCTCCTTCTTGTTGACAACCTCCCGGATCCAATGATACTGTATCTCAATATGTTTTGTACGTCCATGAAAGATTGATTTGCTAGTAAGATGAATTGCACCGAGATTGTCACTTTCTAGGACAGTAGCTTCTGAATCGTAACAACCAAAATAACCCATCATTCTTCTTAACCAGAGTAATTCTTGACCCGCTTCAGTTATTGCTCTATACTCAGCCTCCGTTGAAGATAATGCAACAGTTGGTTGCAAACGACTTTTCCATGAGAGCGCACCACCAGCAAGAGTGAAAATATAACCAGTGGTGGACCGGCGAGTACTGCGATCTCCAGCCCAGTCTGCATCACAGTGAGAGATGGGAAATTGATAGCTTCGTTGACCGGAGACTGAAGAGACATCTTTACCCGAGTATACAATACCAAGATTAATTGTACCTTTGAGATACCGAAAAACATTGAGAGCTGTGTTCCAGTGTTGGATCCCCGGTTTGTCGAGATGCTGAGACAGGACACCCACTGCGTAGGCTAAGTCAGGACGTGTACATTGTGATAAGTACATAAGAGAGCCTACAGCACTTCTATAATTCAGTTTGAGTAATAAGAATTTAGCAGCCTCTTCATCAGTTGCACGATAGAGTTTTAGATTTGGAGTTAAAGGTGTTGAAGCAGATTTTGAAGTAGTCATTTCAAATCTATTAAGAATGGTTAGAGCAAATTTGGATTGAGTTAGAGCGTAAATTTGATTTCCTCGTCTTTGAATTTCAATACCAACAACCATCTTAGCCAATCCAAGATCTTCCATTTCCCATTTCAGTGAGATTTCAGTTTTGAATTTTTCAATTTCATTTCCAGTGATGGCCATATCATCTACATGAACATATACAGCTGTAAACTTTTCATTTTCTTCATCTGATCTGATGTAAACACATGGATCAACTTCACACTGATGAAATCCAATTTCAATTAAGAATCCTTCAACATCATCTTGCCAGATCTTTGGTGACTGTTTTAGACCATAAAGAGACCGGTTCAGCTTCAAAACCATATGTTCTTGACCTTTGACTTGAAATCCTTCAGGTTGTTCTATGTAAATTTCTTCTTCAAGAATGCCGTTGAGAAAAGCAGTCACGGCGTCCATTTGATGGATTTCCCACCCATGAATGGCAGCCATAGCAACAAGAATACGAAAAGAAGTAGGTTTGCCCGTAGGGGCAAAGGTTTCGCCATAATCCACACCTTCAACCTGAGTATTCCCCATAGCTACATATCGAGCTTTGAACTTGATGGAACCATCAGCAGTGTCTTTCTTTCTAAAAATCCACATGCCTCTGATGACTGCTTTGTGAGTCGGACGATCGACAAGGGTCCACACATCCTTTTTCAAAAGGGAAGACATCTCCTTGTTACAAGCTTCGGTCCAGAGCTGGGAGTCACCCGAGCTCATGGCCTTCTTGTAAGATTTCGGATCCGGCGTGGAAGATGACACATGATTCACTTCAGGCGGAAGACAATCGAACTGTGACAAGTAATCGGTATCCTCAAAGACTGCCATGCTGGCCATACCCTTGTAGTCAACTTTAGGTATGTTCCGAAAGGTGAATCGAGTTTGAGTAGGGACTGAAGGTTGAGAATCATTTGAATCGATGTTTGATGGATTATCGGTTGAATCAACAGTTTCGTGAATGACTTCAGGAGTTTCAGAAGGAGTGATTGGAACTGATTGAAAATTTTGTTCACAGGCTTCTACTTCATCAGAA